AAAAAAGTGAGTTAGTATTTTTTAAAAAATATTTTTTATTTTTATTGTAAGAACATGTTAGCAACAACAGCACCAAACTCGTTAGTCATGAACCCAACTTCAATGTTAGTTGAGATGAAAAGCTTCATTCCTTCTTCATATACTTTCGAAACAGAAATCCAGAAGATAAAGCAGGAACTTCTCCAAGGAGATTTAGATTGCACTGCAAAAGATGAAACAAATGAAGAATATCTTTATGACATGCAGGATATTATTGACCATCTACCTAAACTTCCTGAAATCCAACAACAAAAGCTTACTATTCCAGAATTTGAAGAAATAGAAGTCAAAGCAACTGACTCAGTAGAAATAAAGAAGTTCATACGTAAGGTTAACTATGAGTTTCTTGGATTTCATTGCAACCACAAAGTCATGGACAAAGACTGCGATATGGTATATTTCATTGACATATATAAATCTGAAGAATTTAAGACATACGACAACTTTGTTTCGTTAGTTGCAAAATGTGTATGGCAGATAAGAGATAAAGATAGAAAGGTAAAGTATGGAACGAACAAATAAAACCAGCAACTTTTGAGTTAAAGAAAACCATTGACGCTATAGTTGTACTTGCAGGACAAATTTCAATGTACAATGCTAAAATGAACCCACAATGTTCTAAATGTAAAGCAGCAATGAGGAAATATAACTACTCCGTCAAAGAGATAGAACGTATGCGAAACGACTATGCTGACTTAAAGAAAGAAGCAGAGAAACCAGCAGAAGATAAAATGGACATGTTAGAATTTCTGAACAAAAACTATCCAACAGCTGACGATTTCCTTCTTTCAGATGTCAAGAAGAAATATAAAGAAACATTCGGCATTGTTAAAACTTTTGACATACTGACAGAGGAAATCGAAGCTACAAAACTGTTTAGGATTTCAAATATACATCGTACAATTCATGTAAAACGCTTATAAAATAACTGGGGTGAAAAATTAGGTGAAAAAACAGGTGAGATCTCACCTCTTCACCTAAAATATATTTTTGGTCATTTACGCTCATTGTTGACAAAACATTTACACTCATTTCGATGAAATCATGACAAAACATATACGAAGAAGTTTATTTCCTGTGTTGTTGTCAAAATGTCATGTTGTCACCATTTTCAAAAAGATGTTAGTTGACCGAGTGACCGAGTGACCTGGTGACCCTCATGAAAATTCAAGAGGTGAAAAAACATATACGATGAAGAAGTCTTGACAAAACATATACGATGAAGAAGTCTTGACAAAACATATACGATGAAGTTTATTTCCTGGACTGTTGTCAAAATGTCATGTTGTCACCATTTTCAAAAAGATGTTAGTTGACCGAGGGACCGAGGGACCGAGGGACCTGGTGACCCTCATGAAAATTCAAGAGGTGAAAAAAGAGGTGACAAAACATATACGATGAAATCATGACAAAACATATACGATGAAGTTTATTTCCTGGACTGTTGTCAAAATGTCATGTTGTCACCATTTTCAAAAAGATGTTAGTTGACCGAGGGACCGAGGGACCGAGGGACCTGGTGACCCTCATGAAAAAAAGAGGTGAAAAAAGAGGTGAGAAAAGAGGTGAGATCTAACCATCTACCCTAAAATATATTTTTGCTGAAAAAAATGACCAAATTTCATGAATTTCCTCATATGTTTGCGACCCGAGGAAAACCGAGGGTCGAGATTCCGTACGAAAATCGTAAAAAATTGCGAGTACGTACAAAAACGTAGTCGCCTAAAACTCATGAAAATCGTAAAAAAATGACCAAATTTCATGAATTTCCTCATATGTTTGCTACCCGAGGAAAACCGAGGATAGAGATTCCGTACGAAAATCGTAAAAAATTGCGACCCAGACTTTTTTCGGGGTCGCCAAAACTCATGAAAATCGTGAAAAATTGCGAGTACGTAAAAAATCTTACTCGCCAAAACTCTATGAAAATCGTAAAAAAATGACCAAATTTCATTATATAACTGTTATTTTTTTACGAAGAGAACTTTGACACTTCGTCAAAAAAATCCCTGAAATCGTAAAAAAATGACCAAATTTCATTATATAACTGTTATTTTTTTACGAAGAGAACTTTGACACTTCGTCAAAAAAATCCCTGAAATCATATCTTTTATACAAGATAGAAAAAATAAAGTTAGTTTTTTGTAAAATATTTTTTTTATTTTGTATGTAAAGACAGAAAATGACAACACTGAGTTTGAAACAGTTAAAAGATAGACAATGACACCAAAATGGTTAGAATTGGTGATTAAACGTAAGATACTCAAAGAAATACAACAAATATTCTTTGTCAGACATTTTATCTCCATTTGGAAAGAAAGCAAGGACTGGGTTAGAATTGCTTCTACTCAGAAAATTTTGACAAGAAATCCTGAGCTTATGATATCGGTAAGATTCTATGGAACTGCAGCATATCTTATAGACAAAAGTCTTATACCAATAGTTTTGTTATGGTTAGACCCAGTGTGGATATAACTTCATAACATATGGTTCATTCGATACGGAACGTTGCAGTGAAGGCTTACTTACATCGTTCAGAAACCGAAGGACTTCATACAAAAAGATATAAGATAGAAGAACATATAATATAACTCAAAGATATGACAGTACAGTCAATAAAGTCAAGGTGTGTTCGTTAACGATATGAGAGCTGCTGAAACAGAACTGCTTGAAGTTTTTGAGAAAATGTATGTCTCCCCGAAAGGTTAAAGAAACGTTTGAAGTAGATGAGATAGGTAAAGCTATAAAATTATTGACGAAGTTGCTGAAAAATACATGTAAAGCGTTTATTTTTGGTCTTTTGGAAAGTAAGAAAAATAACGCTAATTTTTTATAAAATATTTTTTTTTATTGTATGTAAAGACAGATATGTCAACAACAGAGAACACAACAACTGCTATCGTTCATGAAGCCATAAATGAAGAATATGAGTGGTTCAGTTTAACAAAAACTCCGTCTCATTCGTTCGGTCAAAGACGATATGTACCAAATGCAAAGTATTTTACAGCATGTTTATATCTCTCTTTTTATTACTAATTTACTTTTCAAATAAAAACAAAAGTATTCTGATCCGAGCTAAAATTAGTTACTATTAGCAGCACCTATCATATACCCTTCTTACGATTATTGGCTACTTTTCGAAAATAAAATATAATTGATTAATCAAAACCACTTTTTTTTTGCATTAGTAAAAAAATAACGAAACAACGGTTTGACACATGCCATATGCCATTTTACTCAGAATTTCATACGGAATTCAGCAAAAATAATGTTTATGTTAGAATGTTAGATCTAACATGTTTTCTAACACGTTTTCTAACATGGTCTAAAACACACAAAACTCATGAAATTTCGTGAATTTCCTTAAGATAGAAAAAATAATGTTTATGTTAGAATGTTAGATCTAACATGTTTTCTAACACGTTTTCTAACATGGTCTAAAACACACAAAACTCATGAAATTTCATACGGAATTCAGTAAAAATAATGTTTATGTTAGCATGTTAGATCTAACATGTTTTCTAACACGTTTTCTAACATGGTCTAAAACACACAAAATTCATGAAATTTCATACGGAATTCAGTAAAAATAATGTTTATGTTAGAATGTTAGATCTAACATGTTTTCTAACACGTTTTCTAACATGGTCTAAAACACACAAAACTCATGAAATTTCATACGGAATTCAGTAAAAATAATGTTTATGTTAGCATGTTAGATCTAACCTCTTTTCTAACCTCTTTTCTAACATCGTAGAAAACACACAAAACTCATGAAATTTCATACGGAATTCAGTAAAAATAATGTTTATGTTAGAATGTTAGATCTAACATGTTTTCTAACATGTTTTCTAACATGGTCTAAAACATACAAAACTCATGAAATTTCATACGGAATTCAATAAAAATAATGTTTATGTTAGAATGTTAGATCTAACATGTTTTCTAACATAACTATTTACAAGCGTTTTACATGGTATATGTTGCGATGGTTCATGACTCTAAACAATTTTGTAGCTTCTATTTCTTCTTTTAGTATGTCAAAAGTTTTAACGATACCGAAGGTTTCTTTATATTTCTTCTTGACGTCAGATAGAAGGAAATCGTTAGCAGTTGGATAGTTTTTGTTCAGAAATGCTAACATGTCCATTTTATCTTCTGCTGGTTTTTCTGCTTCTTTCTTTAAATCTGCATAGTCGTTTCTCATACGTTCTATCTCTTTGACGGAGTAGTTATATTTCCTCATTGCTGCTTTACATTTAGAACATTGCGGATTCATTTTTGCGTTATATTCTGAAACCTTACCTGCTAAAACAACTAAGGCGTCAATGGTTTTCTTTAACTCAAACATAGCGGGTCTTATTTGTTCGTTCCATACCTTACCCCTACTATCT